GAATGAAGGCTGGTTTATCAGACTTCTTAGCTGAAAAGCTCAGCCTGGAGCTCCAAAACCAGCAGGTCACGAGGCCTCAGAAGTGGCTCCGAGGTGGGAACTGTCTTTATCCCTTTATTCTGCATGATCTGACGACCAGAAAGAAAGCGGGGGCCCAAGCTTGGTTGAGCTATTTGCCTTTAGGTCTTCGGTATCATATGTGGGGGGCTTAGAAGAAAAACTCCACAAAAATCATATTATCATGGCTTACATTTGAACTGGGGGTCCACTTGGCGCTCCTCACACCTCCCTCCCTCCCAGTGGACAGCGCCCTCTCCATCTGTCTGCTGCCCACGCCCCGGGATGTTGCCCGCTCAGCCCCCCGGTTGCACGCGTGCTGCTGCATGCTGGGCTTTTTCCGTTGGGATGTGTACACAAAACCAGGATTCCGCATGGAGCCGATCTTTCTCTGCCCCTCCCAAAATTGTTTTTGCCACACTTTCTACAACTTCCAATTTCTCCAGATGTATCTCGGATCGGCCCGCTTCCCCCGTTTGCACGCTGCCGCCTTGATCAGAGCCACCACCCCGGTTCACGGAGGTGGCTGTTACGGCCCCGCGGGTCACCCTGTCAAGCTGTCTTTCTCACTTGACAGCCAGAGCGGAAACGCACGCTGGCTCATGTGATGCCCTGCGTGGAATCTTTAGACAGCATCCTTTCCTCTTAAGAGTTGTCGAAATTCCTATTTGTGAGTTAAAAGCCCTCCCTGCCACTGTGTACCTTGACTCTCACTGTCTTCAAAGCCTCCGGTCCCCAAAGCCTCAGTCCTGCAGCCACGCCTGACTGCGGGTCTGGTCCTCTCCGTCTGCATCCCCTGTCAGACTTGCCCGTACCCGATGCACCTGCTGGCTCCCCCTGGCCTTTCAAGCTTCAGCCTGGCTGTCCTTTTCCCTGAAAGCCCTCCTCACTGGCCTTTGCTGCCCCGCTCAGCCCTCCTGCTGCTTGTCCTCAGGGTGGGGACCCCGGGAGGGATGAGCTATCTTGTATGGTCCTTGTCTACAGGACCTACCTACGCCTGGCCCATAAGGCTGATGTATTTCACATTCAAAAGGAGCCTTTCTTATCCTGTCACCTGTGGCTTAGTGGCCTTAAGCGGACTTAAGTGATCAGTTGACACAGCGGGGGTCTCTCCCATCCCCCCCCACATCCCCCACTGTGGTATCTGATGGAGTCAGCTCCTCTCCTGGCACAGGCAGGAAAACCTTAACATCTCTCTGGGCCCTGAATCTTCCTGATGCACTTTGGACATTGAAGTTCACATTCCTTGAGGTCGCAGCCATTCGGGTCACCTTTATGCATGATGATGTGTCTACTAGAAAAGGTGGACAGCAGTGTGACACTTAG